GTGTGGGCAGAGTTGGAACCGGTCCGGCAATCCGGCTCCGGTCCGGCCGAACCGGACCGGACAAGACCGGACAAAAAGTTAAACCGGGCCGAACAGAACCGGATTTTTGCCAGTTCATCATTACAAAATTGTTATTTGCACCCAAGAATATTCTCTACTGAAAAAGGTGTTTTTTGTGAAATTTTCAAGTCAGAAGAATGCGTTTGCGAAAGACTTAATAGATATCTTGTCTTCAACTTGACTATAAATCATTGTTTGTTCTCTTTGTAGCTCTATCGATTTCTTTCTTGTGTATCGCTCAATTTAACCTAGATCAGATAATTTATTTCCTTGTTTTACTTAGACAGCTGCCTGAATCAAGAAAAATAAATATTTACAATTTTGTGTTAGATTTCTTATAAACTTGCTTTTTTTCCTTTTTGAAATTAAGATGAAAAAACAGATTTGATCTGAATAGCTAATTTATATCGATATCGAACTCGAAAGGTTGGCGCACCTTGCTATGAAATATGATGGAAAGAGTTTCATTCCCAAGTTTTAGTTTCCAGTTCGGATTAGGGGTGGCAATTTCTTATTAATTTATTTTAAATTTAAATTTATTTGAAATGTAAATTTTAAAAATGTAAATTTATTTCAACTTCTAATTTTGTAAATTTAAATTTATTTTAAATTTAAATTGGTTTTACATAAATTTTAAATTCAGCTTCAATCAATATAAATCCAATTTAAACGGAATAAAATTCAATTTAAATTCATTTAATTAGATTTAAATTCTATATGAATTAATGTGAATGGATTGAAATCCAATTAAATGAATTTAAATTGAATTCTGTTTGGTTTAAATTGAATTAATATTGGTTTAAACTGGATTTAAATAAATTTAAATAAACTTAAATAATTTAAAAAAATTTAAATTTATGTAAATCCAATTTAGATTTAAAATAAATTTAAATTTATGTAAATCCAATTTAGATTTAAAATAAATTTAAATTTAAATTTACAAAATTTATTTTTAGATTTATCAAACTTTCGTAAATGTAACGTAATCACTCCTAGTTTGGAGTTCTACACGTAAATATTCAATTCCCCTTCGCCACCATTTTATGTGAACAGATACTTTCATGGTCGGTTATTTTCGTCGAATTTTTGCCAGTTTGGCTATAAAGTTCATCCGGCCGGATCAGACCGGACAGATTCTTTAACGAACCGGACCGGACAGAAAAAACTGTCCGGTTCCAACTCTGGGTCTATTCCATTTCCTACTTCTCTCTCACGACCATCATATCCACCACAAAATCAAGCAGTTTTCCTGTCTTGATCTTTTTGAATGGTTCTTAGTAGAACAAGAGAAAAATATGTGTCATTCATGATAGTCATTACTGAGCTTGATTTTTTGTTTTTAAATAACGATGAGTAGTCGATATTCGATATAATCGGCTCATCTCTATTTATCTTCAGCTTGAAAAGTCGATGTCTTGGAATCTGATATAGGGAAGCTGTTTTTTTTACATATATTCAGGCGGTCCACTTCAAAAATCCGCATGTAAATATCGAAAATTTTACTTCATTTACTATTTTTCGTAAACAAGCTTCTTTTGAGTTCCAATTTTTTGCCGGATTTTTGCCAGTTTGGCTTCGAAAATGAACTGGCCGGATTCCGGCCGGACCGGACAGATTTTTCTACTGGCCGGACCGGACCGGATACAAAAAATCTGTCCGGTTCCAACTCTGGGTGTGGGTGTGGGTGTAGGTGTCGTTGTGGGTGTGGGTGTGTGGATGTGGGTGTGGGTGTGGCTATTGTTTTCTCATCATCCACACCCACACCCACACCCCACCCACACACCCACACTCACACACCCACCCACACCC